TTTTTTGCGCATAATTTTATGTATAATAATAAAAAATAAAAAGATATATATATATATATATGTACAATATACGTATATAATGAAACACTAAACGTTAATATTCTTTTAGTATACATTATTATAATTATATTAAGTCAATGGATCGAGTGAATCTTCCATTTTTTAATTTTTCAATCAAAAATGGAGAAAACTTTTGAGAATCGTTTTTGAGAATCTCAAATTAGCACCATTCCCACAGCCACAAATAAGATCAAAAATATTCGAAATAATTTAATTGACAGAAACCGAAAATAAAAATGAAAATGAAAACGAAAACGAAAACGAAAGCGAAAACGAAAATAAAAATGAAAACGAAAACGATTGTAACATCATGTTAAGATGTGATTACGTAATCACTAATATAGCCATTAAAAAGTAGAAATAATAAAACGTGCATTACGATGAACGTGCAATAAGATTTGCTTATGTTACAGTGATTCTCAATCTTTTTACTATAATTCCTATGAAAATGTTTATATAACTATCATATATATCTTGTACAGATATACATATAATTATAATTACAGTATAATATCAGAAATAAAATAAAACACACACATACGTGTGCATTAAATTTAGTATTAATTAAAAACATGGAATACTTAAGTATCCACACTGTATTAATGAATAATTTATTAATTAATAAATAATTTATTAATTAATGAATAAAATAAAAAAAAAAAGAATTTTTAACAAACTTTACAAAATAAATTAACAAAAATCGTCGGTTTATCGCGTATATATCATTGAGAATCTCTGTCTTAAAGAAATCATTTAGTATGGAAATGATCATAGAGCGAAAGTTATCTACATGTATACGTAATATATATATGTAAATCGTGACTTTAAGTAATATCCAATAATAATCGTTCGAGTTTATTTATTTATTACAATTATATTTTATATAACGCGATGACCAGTAAATATTTATAAACATAGGTTTCTTCCGTATAAATTCTTCGAACTTATTATTCTAGATGATATTTCAAATTGCGGTAGTATTGAATTTTTTTTTTAATATAATGTAATATACAATAGAACTGTTATAGATGAATGAAATGATTTCCATAAAAAAATAAAAACCTAAGGCTTATCTATACTACGCTGCGTTATATTCTAAATATCAGTAATTGCGATAACTGATACAAATAAAATTCTATTATCGCGTTGTGTAAATTTCGAATGATGATATAATCGATTGCTTTCACATATAATAAAGATCTAAATTCTATGATCAAAACAATCTGTGTAAATACACTATACAGCTATACCTGACATTAAAGCAACAGGGACAAATTTTTTTATTCTTTTCTCTTGTTCTGTTTATTTCAATTTATTAAGATATATATATCTCATATCCTAATTGTAAAGATAAAACTGAGAGGAAGCGGGAAAAAACATGGAAGAAATAAAAATTTATAAAAATTCATTATAACTATGCAATAGAAAAATTTATATACAATGTCATATGGCACGAATAGAGAGTAGACATTTTTTATAAAAACGATTCAAAAAGCAGACGTTTTCAATCGTTTGATAAATCTAACGTGTTAAAAGAAAAGTAAAAGCAAAAGAAAAATGTGTTATTAAAATGTTAATAATTTTCAATATCACATTACTTCAAAGGATTATTAAAAAATTTATTTTCTTGTTTTTCGATCGTTTATCTACAAATGTAAATCTTGTGTTGCATCTTACTTCTGAAAGTTCGTTGTTCCTTTATTCGTTCGTTCATTCACAAAGAACGACAAGCGAATAAGCGAATGAGCAAACAAGTGCGCAAGTGCGCGTACGTATAAAACAAAAAGAAAGAAAGAAAAAAAAAAAAGAAGAAAAACTTACATCGCACATTGCGTCGAAAATGAGAGATCAACTAAATAACTCGATGTAATCTTCAAAGTAGCGAATGCGTTGCTGTACGTTATGTCTTCTACGTTTCTATCGAAAGCGATTTTGTCCTTGATGAATGTTCAGAAAAAAAAAGGTGAAACAAAAAAAAAAAGAAAAAAAAATAGACGAATACAGTCGACAGTATTGTACGTTTTTTTTTTTTTTTTTTTTTTTTTTTTTTTTTTTTTTTTTTTTTTTTTTTTTTTTTTTTTTAGACGAACACTATCTCGAGAGAAAGATCAGAGAATAAAAAATATATATTGTAAAACATAATACGCGTAATACAGCGCGTGATTAACGTTGTTTCTATGTAATGGTGCGTTAACAATAAAACGAGAAGAACGATTTTAGAATAAAGCGTTCCACGGAAAAAAATAAATGAGAACCAAGATACAACATATATACATCCGTCACCGCCGAAGGTTCGGATCTGACTGATGTTAGAAACGAAGATAGACGGAACTATACTATGTGAGACACACAAAGAACTACGCGCTTTACGTTACGATACAGGACACTATAGCGTCATATAAGAGACCGTCATATTATATACGTATTCACTTTACCTACAAATACACATAAACCTATATTATATGGATGTACATATTCAACATACAAAGGTTGAAGGTAAGTAAATACGTAAGCAGAAGAAAAAAAACACGTGATAGATTTCTCAAAATTTGATGCTTCTGATTGGTTGATATGACTCAGACCAGAAGGCGAGCCTCCGATTAATAAAAGAAAAACGTTGATAGGCCGGTGAGATCGTTGTCCTAGATCCACTCTATATCATACGATCAAATAAACACCATGTGGACTGAAGAAGTTTTTTTTATTTGTTCGCTTTGTCGAAAAACATGTTGATAAGACAAAGTGGAAGTAGAAAAGAAGTTCTTGAATGATGAATCACATTCAAATACGATAATTCAATTTACGAGTTTCTCGTATTTTCGAAGAATATAATCACATGTTTCGACAATTATGGCATGTATGTCGTACATACGTACAGCATATATATAATAAAATGAGATAATACCTGTTGACAAATTTGAACAATATGTAATATTTGCCAAAAAATAAACAATCAAAATATATATATTTGGGTATAAATATAAATTCAAGAAAAACATTCTTTCGAAATTGTAAAATATTTGTTTGCTTGTTTTTTCCTTTTTTATTTTTATTACTAATAATTTATGAGAAAGATATAAAACGAATTTTATTGTTTTTTTTTTCATCTAAAACAATGGAATTACATATAACCATTATAATATCTTGTTATATATTTATTTATCTGTTTAATTGATACAGCGAAGTTTAATTAATATTGTTGTATGTAAAGAGATCAATGAACTCATAAGAACTTTTCTGCGAAATAATGATAAACTTGATAGATTTTATTTGTCTAATTTTTTATTTTCATTCCAATAAACGAAACAGGATTCATCTAGTTATTTATTAATGTATTGTAGATACGGACTATATATATATGTACTTACGATAAGAGTGACGAACTTAGCTTGGTGTTTACGTCTTAATTCGCAATGTGTTTACTAATATTACTAAATCACAATATGTATACTACTTTGTATTATTAAATTGAAGGATGATGAATACAAAAGGACACGTTATTTAAGATAAAATCGAGTCAGTCATGTGACCATCGAACCGCACTGATCACCGAAGTCAACACTTTTCGTTCTTAAAGGATGTTTGTATCGATTTATTATACGGTTCATATGTTATGTATGTCTGTAATTAAAAAACTTTGATAGAAGAAATCTGAACGATTTTTTGAACGTAAAGGAACATATATATATTCTGTCTTGTTTATTCAAATATATTTATATGTATATATATATTAAATTTATGTGTATATATATATATATATATATATATTATGCATATATATATATTAAATGTATATGTATATATACACACACCCATTTATGTATGTTGTATCTATGTTTGACTTAACAAAACGTACTTCTTTCATGTCAACATTAAAGACAACTGCGCAATTACAGATAAAAAACTATTGATTCAACTAGAAAATATAAAATATATAACGAATAATCATGTATGTATGTATGTCCTTGGAAAATTTTTTTCTCATACTAATAAATTAATTGTATTAGCATTGTTTTTTTTCGATCCGTTATAACCTAACTTTTTGTCGTATATATTAAAAAAATGATATATAATCTTTATATTTATGCATAATATTAAGCAACGTAAATATGTGAAGTGTGTGATTTATAATATATGGCCATTATAGAGAGTTAGAAGGCCATATAGTTTTAGTGGGATTATATATTTTTGCACTTATATGGTTTACGAAACACGAAGATTTATTAAAAAAATAAAAAAAATAAAGAAAATTTAAAGTCAGTGATCCTCTATCAATCTATTCTAAACATCTTACGTTACTTGTTACTAACCACTATACACAGTATCGATGTAACAAATGGTAAAGATAAAGTTTAATATAAATAGAGAAAGAAGAAATATTGTTTTAACCTTTTTGCTATATGCTTGTGAAATAATGGTCGCCTTGACTAAACGCATTGCTGACAACTTAATGCTGACGTACGAAGTGTTTATGAGCTCGATATGTTATTTGTATATGAACGTCAATTTTTTGACAGCATATATATATATATGTCCTTCATATGTGACTATGTAATGTGTATTTTTTGAAATTGCATATATACATCGTTCCAAGTGAAAAAAATTAATGAAAATACATTTGTGCGCTTACATATACGGAAAACTGTGAAACGCATAGATTTATTAATTCAGTTGGTAAGTATTGAGATCTACTTTTCCAACTGTGCATCTAATCAATAAGTAATTAGGTGATCATTTTGTTTCAATAAGTTAATAAATATTATTTTACTATAATATAGCAATTTGTAAATTTTATAATTCATGTATAAATAATGTTTTTAATTATTCTGATTTTATTCTTTATATAATATAATATAAATTGTGTAATAACACTTAATGTTTATCATTATGTTATTTTAAAAAATATTAATATTTTTAATATAAAATGTTTTTAATTTAATTTATAGATTAAGTGGTGCTGGCATTTTATCGCCTTTTAAAACGGCTAATATATTTTCTGCTGTAATTTTTGCCATTTCTTCTCTTGTTTCGATAGTAGCACTTCCAATATGAGGTAAAACCACTAAAACAAACAATAATCTTTAAAATATATACATTAGATATGTTTTTGTGCAAATAAATAATGCATACCGCAGTTATCTAATTTTAAAAGTTCATTATCCAATGGAATGGGCTCAGGTGTCATAACATCCAAACCAGCAGCTTTAATGGTACCCTTTTTTAAAGCTTCTATTAATGATTTTTGGTTGATAACTTCTCCACGACTAGCATTAATAAATATAGCAGATCTCTTCATTTTTTCAAATGCTTGAGTATTAAATAATTCTCTTGTGTCTGGTGTTAAAGCTATGGTAACTATAACAAAGTCACTTTCTTCGAGTAACTTATCTAATTCAACTTTTTCTCCATTAAATTTAGAAGCATCTTGTTTTACAGTTCTACTCGTATATAAAATTCTAGATACATCAAAAGGTTTTAAGCACTCAGCTACTTTACATCCAATGCGACCAAGTCCAACAATACCAACAGTTGATTTTGATAATCCTGTACCACACATCCATGTTGGTGCCCAAGCTTTCCATTCACCTCTATAAAGATTATTTTATTATATAAATCTTTTTAATCTATTAACAAATGTTACTAATTAAGTATGCTACCTATAGATTGCTTTATTTGCTTCCAATAATCTTCTGGAAGTTGCTAAGAGCAATCCTACAATTAATTCAGCTGTAGCATTAGTTAATATGTCCGGTGTATATCCAACTTTAATATTCTTATTTTTTAATGCTTTTAAATCTAAATGATCTGTACCAACTGACATTGTAGCAACTACTTGTAATTGTTCTCCTGCTGCATTTAATATTTCTTCATCTATTTTATCAGTCAATGTACAAAATATAGCAGATACTCCAAGCACTTTTGATAATAATTCTGAGCGAGGAATAGGAGTTTGCTTGTTCCATAAGATAACATCACATCTTGAAAATAAATATACATGGATAAGATAGTAAATATAGGTATATATATATACATATATATATATTAACTAAAAAGGATCTATTACATATGAAATAAAGGTTGAATAAGGCAAAAATAATTACATACTGTTCGTGGAGAAGATTTAATCCTTTACCAGGAATATCCGGTCGTGTAATCAAAACTTTTGGTTTATTCGCCATTTTCATAAAAGATGTATATAAAAATCTTGGGTGTATAATTTTTATTTCTAGAAAAATAACTTATTTTGATTTGAAATATAATCGAGTAATATAAAATTTTATTGATTACATCTCAGATATGATATAACCTATCATTTAATATTGTTCTTTGATTAGACTGAAACCCTATACTGATTTTAACCTATTCTTCTAAATTTCTGAAATAATTATATTTAATTAAATTTTAACATGTATTAAAAAAAAATTTATCAATATACTGCAAATTTAATTATTAAATATATTTAAATAATTAAATAAAAATATAACATTCATCCAAACTAACTTTTTGTCGAATTTCGCAAAATAATATAATTAAAATACATATTTCTTATGTTAACACTAGAAATCGCACGAATTATTATTACTTTATATCATTTATATAATAAAAATCCATCATGTACTTTCATCTATCAGAGCTGTGTTTTACATATATATACGTGATATTTACATTTTAAGAAATCTAATCAGCAGTTGCGCAGTAGATTAATGCGCATACTCTTTCATATTACAACCAATGAGGTTTCATTGTAAGAATGGGGTGAAATATAATATCTAAATACAAAGATTTGATTGGTTCGTTTTTTCGAAATTATTTAACGTAATAAATGAAGAAAAATTAAAGTTAATCTTTCGATCTTTTTTGAATTTTGTAATTGTTTTTTTAAATTTTTAGTTTTTCTTTCTTGATAAAATAATTAATTTACTTATAGCAATTTCTGCATATTCTAAGCCTTATTAAAAATATGTATGAACATAGAAAATCTAAACAAGAAAATGAAAAAACACGATACAACGAACAAGCAAAAAAACTGAAGGTTAAGGATCCTTCAAAAACTAGTAAAAGAAAGAAACATGTTGAAAAAACTGAAGAAAAACAATCGATGTTTATTTTAAGTTTAGATCCATATGAAAAACCATTGAAATGGTGGGAAACCGAGCACGTAAAATACGCGTAAGTTTGTACGTTTTTTATTTTTATCGTATAAGATCTATGACATATAGGCATATATATGTATTTTGTATAATAATGGTAATTACGGTCAATTAATCGACAAACAAATTGTAATTGATATTACATTTATTTATATTTTATATTTTTTATTGTTTAAAAAAGACATAAATGAATTTATATTATTATATTTATTTTTGGAAATATCAATCGAAAATTCAATTTCTGTGATTACAGTATAAGTTACAAACCTGTAAAATTACGAGTGGAAGGATTGATGGGAAGTCATATAATACATTTAACAGATCGACAATACATGACAACTTTTGTAGAAAATATTCGAAATAATTATAGACACAAACAACTAAGTAGAATTGAAAAAAGAAAGGAATGGGTTGAGACGATGTTTGGATCATTTATTTTGGAAAATAATATATAGATTAGTAAAAAATATATAACAATCTTCTGACTGATATATGTTGAGCATATGGTTGCTAGGTCAACCGAATGCAACAACACGTGAACTATTCCATTCAGAATTCTTGACACGTGGAGATCGATTATTAACAATACGTGCAATATTTTAAGATAATTATTGCAAGGATGAGCGAAAATATTAAATTTATCGTAGCAGAAGTTAATAAATTGTTAGAAAAAAATTATAATTTGATTGGTTTTAGTGCTTTGAATCCTGAGGACTTATTACAGGTAATAAAACACACACATACATACACACATATACAGGAGAGTTTATTTAAGTAAGGTCATCTAAATATCTCGTTGAATTGTGACGATGCAAAAAATATTTTTTATGTAATATGAATGTTATCAAATGTTTAACATACGACAAAAGTATTTTTTTTTTCAATTTATTTTTGGAGTTATCAAAGTTATCGATGATTTTTTTGCATATAATCATATATATTGTTTTCACATATAATAACATCATCTTGAAAAAATTTTGATCTTTGAAAAAATATTATATCCATTTCGATCTAATGTTATATAATTAGGAAGAAATTGTATCTATTATGTTTTATGTACTAATAATTTATATATATTATATATTAATAATTAATATATATATATTAATATTGTATAAACTATAATTTAATTTTTTAAATTAAAAAAATTTTTTTTTTTAGATCTTAAGTGATGTATTGATAAAAATACAACAACAAGATGCACCAAAAATCGATATTAAAACTGAAACCGCTGAACAGAGTTCAGTACGTATTCTTTCTGCTCTTCGTATACTTAAATATCAACCGAATTCTGATCCAGTGACTTTTCGGTAAAACTTCATTTTTGCTTTCCGATTATATATATATATATATATATATATATATATATATATATATATATATATGTAATCTTCATGTAAATACTATTTTTTTTTATAACGTAGACAAGGAATCGTTCGAGGTGATTCTGAAACAATATATGCAATTTTAACATGGTTATTAACTCATAAAGATATAGTTCGTCAAAGAGCTTATTTGGCACGTTTTCTTGTTAAGGTAGATAATTTCATCTCAAATTGGTAATATTATTAATTTTCTTATTTATTATTTTACTTTTTGATTATTTTTTACAAATTTTTATATAGATCGAAATTCCATCAGATTATTTAGGAGATCCAGAAATAGCAGCACTGTACGAACAATATTCGAATATGGTTAATCAATTTAAAACTGTTCATAAGGAAAGGGAGATCGGTAAAAAGGTATAGATAAAGCTATAATAAAATAATTTTCCTCATTTCTAATAATTTTCATTCATGTTTAGAATTTTGAGATCGCTGCTGAATTTACCGAAGATCTCAAAGCAATGGAAAAAGAAAAAGAGGTAGATAATTGACGATGAAAATTAATGAAATTTAAAAAAATTAATATTTCAATATTTTTTAGGCAGTTTTGCAACGTATCGAGAAGATGAAAGTTAAAGCTCAACCTGCATTTTATCTTTTGGATGCAGCTCGTGCCTTACGTATGGAAAAAGATCGAGAACGTGATCTTGCTTTACAGAAAGAACAAGAAAGCAAGATAATGTCTGGTTTACAAGTATATACAATTTTCATTCACAATTTTTATTTTTTATTTGTATAACTTATTAACATTTTTCATTTAACACGTATGTGTTTAAAAATTAAATCTAACTTCATAAATATTAAATAATGATCAATATTAATTGGTATAGTCACAACGCCTGAAGTCTGATTGATCTCATTTGCATATAGATATCCTTTCAAGGAATAGAACGTGAGTTGCAAACATTAAAGCGAACTAGTGAGGAAATAACACCTCAAACATTAATACAACATCTAACGGACGAGGTGACCGTACAGACTGCCATAATGAAAGAGAAGTTAGCTTATGAAATTGAGATGAAAAAAAAACGAATAGCTGCTCTTATGTCAGTACGAGGATATTCTTATTTAGGACCAGATCAAATAACAACTTTAAGGAACAAATTAGATTTAATAACAAAAGAAATTCAAGGTTTAGTCGAAACAAAGGTAGCGTGATATATTATTCTTTCTAAAAAAAAAGAAAAGAAAAGAAAAAAATCAATCGATCATATATTATTCATTTAATTGTTTACTTGTAGATCACTAAAACTGATAATGATAAAATGGAACCATTTCGTCAACAAGCAACAACAATATCAAATATGAAACGAAATGTACTCGAACGATTAGAGAATACAAATGATCGTTTGAAAGAGTTACAAACGAAATTAGAAGAGAAAAGAGAACAATCGAAAATCTTTATGGAAGAGATGGCACCTAAGGGAGAAGATTTGAAAAAATACGTAGCTCATTTAAAAATCAAAAGTATTTCGTACAAACGTTACAGGGCAGAATTGACGGCGTTGAAAGCTGAAATTGGAGTATTGCAACGAACGGCCGTTATTCTTAAAACACAGGTATTTGTATAATAATTAAGAAATTAAATAATTCATTTAAAAAATAAATTATTATTATATTATTATTTATATATTTCAGGCAGCGTTAATAGACCAAGGAAATAAAAATTTAGATTTAGGAAAGCAATCGATTCCTGATAGTTACACACCGGCCAATGCATTTTCAACAAATGTGCAATTATTCAAAATGATATCTGCACTACGTGCTAAACTCCTACCTTTATTAAATGGTATAAAAAGTATAAATTTTATAACATGTAGACACATATTTTTAATGTTTTTATCTATGTTATAATATTACAGAAACTCAGACGTTACGACAAAAGTCTCGTGACTTGGAGGAACGTTATAGGAAAGCTAACACAGTTCAGTCGACTTTAGAAACAGTTATCGGAAGTCCAACAGGAAATGTATTATTTGAAATAAATCAATTAAAAGAGAAGATAGCGAAGGTAATATATATTTGTATATGTGTGTGTATAATAAAAAATACAATATAAATGTTTATATAAAAGGATAAAGAAGAAAAAGAAAGGCTCAAAGAAGCATTATCCAAAATGAAAAGTTTGGAACAAAGAATACAAAAAGAAATGGATGTAAGTAAATATTGAATAGTTATGATTAAAATTATTTAAACAATCGATACATTTTTTTAGGCATCGTCAAGTTCTGATAATAGCCGAAGTTTAAAAGATGAGTTTAGCGATTCGATTGCGGTCGAAGAAGAAATTATGAAAAATTTAAAACTTCAAAAAGAAAATCTTGAAAAAGATGCTAGTAAAAATGAAAAACAAACACAACAATGGAATCAAATTGCAGCGTATGTATATCCAATAGATATTTTAATTTAAGAGATAAAATTATAAATAATTTTTTTTATTTTAGAATATTCACTTGCAAAATTCAATGTGCAGAAGATAGTAAACATAATGATGGGATTGTAGTACGCAGAGGAGGAGCTGAAACTCTTGTATTGCAATAATACAATTTTAATTTGCATAACTATATATAATATTGTATTTCGAAAAAGAAAATATATTATTTTTTATTTTAATTATAGTTACATATTTTCAATGTAACTTAA